TATACCATATTAAAAGCCATTTTTAGCTTTTTGTTTTGAAATCGAGCAATAAATAAAAATTTTATTGTTTTTTAACGATATAAAATATACAGTGTGTGGAAAAGATAAAAAAAGATAAAGATAAAAACGGATAAAAAAAACAAATAAATTTTTTTATTTATCTTTTACAAGAGTTGATTCATCTATCCGAGGAGACCAGAGAAAAAAATTCTGTCCAAAAATTTTGACATATTTTTTGACATTTGACATTTTTTTATGTTTATACTGATGATCTTGTATATGTTTTTTTACAATTATATAGTAAAGGTCTAAAAATTTTGCCAATAAAAGCCACAAAAAACATAAAAAAGAATTATAATTAAGAAGTTAGCTTCTTTGTTTCCTCTTCAAAGTTCAAAAAAACTTGGAATATTATTTTTTTAACAGAAATAAGTAAGAGTCCAAGTGCAAAATTTAAACTCTCATAACTTCGAAATTTTTATAGATAAAATTTTAACTTTAGAAATTATTGTTTAAAAAAATTATGAAATTAAAAAAAAAATGTTAATAAAATCTAGTTGCTTGGTGTCAACTAAGACAATGCCATTATTATAATGACAAAAAGCAGCAAATGAAAGACCAAAAATTTTTAAAAATTGAGAAATTTGATTTTCTTAACTAAATTAGTTATTTTATTCTGTACTCAATGTTAAAGAGTGCTTTTATCAACTAATTTCAATAGATAAAGTAGTCTTTTATCGTCTCGTGAAATAAAGTAATTTTTATCTACTGTTTATATTTTATCAACTAATTTCAGTAGATAAAGTAGTCTTTTATCGTCTAATAAAATAAGGTATTTTTTATCTACTGTTTATATTCAAGAAATTCTGGTAGGTGAGTACAAAATAAAACTCGTGAATAAAGTCCACTCGTGACTTCGTCACTCATAAACTTGACCTTTTCACTTGTAGATAAACAATTTCTTTATCGTCTTGTATGATAAATAACTATAATTTTTATTTATTTACTTTCAATAAGATTATTGTTAACGTCTATTTTTTATTCACACCATGCAACTAGATTTTATTAAGGTTTATTTTTTTTTCTACTTTGATGATTTTTTTTAAATAATTTTTAGTAAAAGTAGAACATATCTATTCCAAGAAAACTAATATCTTCCAAATTA